TATTTTTTGTCATTAACACATCATGTATTCTGTTGAAATAAATCTTGTCATTTCTGAATTTCATTTTTACTGACATCGTATGTAACATCACAAATAAGTTAATCGCTTTCAGTGATGACGATAAATGTATTATTAAACAAAGTTAAAATGGTTTAACAGATGATATTGATCATTTTGATTGATTTACTTGAATTGTTTCTACGTACACAATAACGTAAACTTTAATCATCGTGTTTGTTTATAGTTTATCTGAGTCGGTAAACCGTTAAAATTCTAAACTCACACGATTGTGCAAAGCACCTTGAAAGTTGTACAAAATTTATGCTTAACATCCTACACACTGCTAGCAATCTGGTCTAGTGGTAGAGCCCGAGACTTTAGTCCCTAGGTCCCGGGTTTAAATCCCGCCAAATCACCAATGGATTTTATATTAGTGATAATGCCACAACCCCTAGGTCTATCCTAAAGTAATGTGGAAAAAGTCACGGGCTCGTGTATAGCGTCCCAGGACAAAAAAAATATCCTACACACTAATACACTTTCCAGTAAATTTATTGTGTGGAGAAGGTACCTCAAGTCAATCTGCAATTCATTTCACTTGTAGTTTCCAACGAAGGTATATCAATACAATTTTGGGTACAGCAATCAAGTAATCTTACTGGTATTTTATGTTGAAAGAAAAGTAAGCTGAGTAGGTTAGGTGGGGGGTCGCAGTTATGGCCTATAACCCAGAGGGAGTCTGGGCAAGGCACTTAGCAGAATGTCCGACACACTCATAATGAGTATATCCTATTTTATAGGAGCGTGTATATACAGATTTAAAAGGGAAATGCAGTTAAGATAACCTCTATAACAACAAAGGTGCACAACACACCTAAAATGTGTGAAGTTAAATCATCATTTGCTTAACAAGTTTATATGCTGATGTTTAAACGTTTAAAGTGATAAATGATTCAACACAGTAACGAAGATACTTGTACAAACCGAAACAACAATACATACAACTACAATCCACTTTATAAACTAGTATTTAGAAAGAACGCTCCAAATTAGTAAAAACTTGAATTGCAAATCTATTTTCTAGGTCACATTTCAGACTGTGTGATGCTTATTAGCTGGACTCAGTTCAGGGGGAAACCGCATTGATGTTGATTTTTACTTCAAACAAATACGGTATATTGTTTTATTGTGCTAAAACACAATTATTGTCGCGTAAGTTTGCGTACTTCAGAAGGATGATAGTCAGGGAAGAGGAGAGGTCTCAGCTCCCACAAGATACCTTCAAATCTAGAACTCAAGCTCTGCTTGTAACACTGATAAATATGGTGGATTTTCTTGGAATTTCCATGCAATATTTAAAATATTACTAGATAGGCCAAATTTTATAACAGCGCTAGATACTTTAGCTACAACACTTTGTGTGTAAAATAATGGGTACAAAGATGGTGCATTGCTACAGTGAAACTACAGAGGATATTTTTAGTTAGTTCAAAATGAATAAGGATTTAATACTAAAATGATGACTTCAAATGATAAAAATAAAATGTATAAAATGTCGCAGCACCAGAATAACCACAATATATGATTTGTAATCAATACAACATGGATAAAAGGAGATATTAAAGATTGTTACACTGTGAAATCCTTTAGAAAACCTCTTTCAGCTGATTACAACAATACTTATAACTAGACAGTGTATAACAGTTTTTAAGTTGTAAGTTTTACAGACAAAGTTTATTACACTGTGGAACGACTCCACAAATCTGTTTAAGCTATCACAGCTATGTGTATAACAGTAACGATAGTAGAATGCTCAAAGTGGATATTTTACAAGGCCTGTTACGGGTTAAAGTATAGATATAGGTTGTAACGCCAGTAAAAGCATGCTCCATGTAATGGGAAAGATATTAACTGTAAATGCCTCAGGAAAGCTGATCTGGGAGATGTAAGCTGAGTTTACAACAATCTCGGGAGTGATTATTGGTTATGGTCTGTTATTGAGGATGTATTATGTTAAAGGGGTCTTAAAAATACCACATAAGAGGTAGTACAGCTGGATAGATATACTTTTTTAAAGAATATACACTTCTGTCAGCAAACCTGCAGACTAAACTAATTTCTAGTTATGATACATATTGAGTATTTATTTGTATAATTTTTTGGTTACATAATTTTAAGAAAAAATCTACTTCATATCTATGTTTAAGATATGATTAGAATTGAGACACCCTTATCACTTAAACGCAACTCATAACTGATGTTTTTTTTTATGTAAATTATTAGACTGTTTTTTTTTTTTTTTTTATTTTTACAAACCTTTGATGCACAAAACAATCGGTTAACTAGGTTGACCTGAAGTCTATATTGAATATGAAGGATCAAATTGTGTACTCTTGACTGCAATGAACATCATTGCTTCGGAAAAGCCGTAGTAATGGAATCAATTGTCGAGAAGGGACGAATCAGAAACGAAGTCGATGATGCGTACCGTGGCGCACACACCAGTGAACACACAAACATGATCCTCCGTGCAACGCTTCAAAACACAACGTACCATTGTCCGATCGCGTTCAGTAAATGGTCCTGGGGCTCTCACTTGCTTTGTTCATGATACAGTCTGTACGATACAACCTGTCTACAGTGTCTACCTGGGATTGGTTTATTGTAAAAGGTGTGGGTCAGCCCCAAGACAGGTTCCATCCTACAGACTATAAAAATACCTTTGTAAAATTTTTTAGGGGTGGAATTATCCTTAAGCACTCATTTGCTTTGGGATCATAGCAAGTATTTTTTATATGAAATATCACCTAAATAATGAAAAAGTTAAACAATATTTTTTTGGAACTAGTTTCTTGACTCAAGAGTTTTATCAGGTAAATGGTTTAAAGTGAGTATTAAGGAAAGTGAGTTCTGTTGGGTAAAATAAATTCCAAATACAGCGGAAATAGTGTGCAAACTGTGACTCTCGTAGGTTCTAACCCACCTCAAGTATATCTTTCACACATTTCTGTTTAGTGAAACCACGGCCACCTTTTTAGGGTAGCACAAAATATAGTTAGTAGTTAGTAGTTTATCTGGACTTTCTCAAATAATTTCGTAGATGGAGGTTTGGTTATTTATAGCGTCCACGAATATTGGAAGCTAATTAAAATGGTGTGGTCAAAATTATAATTAAGAACGCAATGGTAAAACAAGGATATAATATCTCGAACTTCATTGACAACCGCAGCGCAGCGAGCTCAAAGCGAGTCTACTAGACTCATGTCATGCACGCATTACACACAAGTCCATTGTGCGTGTGACTTCTAATTGATGCGTTTGACAAGCATGTGTACTTGATTATACAAAACATGACTTTGCTTTGATTAGTGCAGTAATTGCGAACCGGAGCAATGCATTGTAGTTAGTACGGACGACTTGTCAAAGACATCAGTTGAAACTCCAGGAGATTTAAATCGGCTTTGATTACGTTTGAAGTGAATTCTGTTTATAATGTTTACTTGGATTGAGACAAATTTATCGTATGTTTAAAAGTTTAGGCCTACTAGTTGGGATACATCATTATTCAACTGATGTCTTACATACAATTGGTATTCTCAATATTGTTTCTTTATGGTGACATCAAAAGTATCATTTGCAAAACAGGTTGATGGGTATGATAAATTTAAATGGCATTCTATAATATTTAATTAAGTAATGATCCTTTCTCAAATTAATAGATTTTCATTTCTCTAAATAATAAAGTTTAACTATTGCCAATCTATTCTAATTTGTTTATGCTAATTGTGATAACCATACATAGGTCTACACTTTCACTCAATTAAATAATGTTATATGCTTCTCTGGTTAAAGCAGCGTTAAGAAAATCAATTCAGTGCCTATGTTGTGTTTATTATAGTTTATTAATGAGAGGGTGATGTAAAAAAATGTCTGAATACAGTAAATTGATTCCTAAGAATCTTAAAGAATAAATATGTTTGCAGTGATGAATAGATTTTCAATAAGTTTAGTGAATGACAGATTTTTTAAAGGCTTTTGTGCTTGTTTTAGCAGCAAACCTATGTACTCTTATAAACAAAGTGTTTGTTAATGATATGCTTAAGTTTACAAAGAAATTTCGTTGAAACTGTTTAAATAGTAAACTATTTTTGTGCATCTGATTTTAATTTATATTTCCTCTCATGGTGGACAGATGTCAAAGTCCAAGTCATTGGTTTGTTTTCCACCATTATTCACTAACAATCTTTACAACTCAACAGCCTTCCCTATTTTGTAGGAAAATCCCAAGTGCTGAGGTTTAAGTTGGCCGAAGTTGGATTGAATCCCTCAGTTCCAACCTGCTGACTCAATCTCACCTGTTTCAAAGTTCTTGCCCTTAATTTGGCTGACAAGTAACTCTACATGTTGTTGCGCTGCGGCCCCATGGGACTCGTGCTGGTTTCAGGTTCAACTTCTTGTGTTAGCGTAATGTGTAGGTGTTATTTCACACGTTGCTGCTTTGTTCTTCATCGTTGAAAAGGGGTTCCACTTTCAGCTATTTCTCCCTATACATGTGCAATACTATGGTACATATTTTTGAATCTCTCATACTCTTTAACGTTTACATTCTAATGTCTTGTGGGATATGTTTTTTAATCATGGTCTTTAGTGTAGGTTCTTAATGGTGTTTTTGTGTTACCATTCAAACAAATCAGGGTTATGTTGTGCCAACAGTTTTATTTGATGGTCTAGAAGATAATCATACAATTCATTATTAGAAGATTGGACCTGGATAATTTAGGTTTTGTCGTTGTTGAAGATCAGCTGTTTTTGTGTTCAGTTGCTTGTGAGCGTGGTTAGTCTAGTCCTTCTGTCCTGAAACCCTGGGTATAAATCCCACCAACCACCGATGGATATTATATACCTACATTATAATGTTTAAACTAAGTGGAAAAAACTTTAACCCTGGTTGTTTACTGGTTTGTCTTTCAACTGTGTTGATGTTTTGTGATATGTTTCAGACGGAGATTTGTACACTGGCACAGTGGCAGACTTCGCTGGCATGGACCCCATCATATACAGAGAACCGCTACAGACTGAACAATACGACTCTATGAGCCTTAATGGTAAATGAAACACAAGTGTAAAACTACTTACGATATTGAGAAACAATTATATGACTAAATTGGCAGAATCAGTTGCAAAAGGTTCTAACTCAAAGATGAATGTGTTAAGATTTCAGACTCAGATATTTGCCTATTACAGTCTCAATATTATACTTTAGCAATAACGTTGAGGAAAAATGCAAAAATAGTTGTTGATAACCATAGAAGAACTATGCTTAAGCAAGTAATCCCTACTAAATTTATACTATTATAAAACACTATATACCTAATTATAATAGTACAATACATACATAGATAATAATAAATAAATTTGTGTCAAAGATAACTTCAAAAGTTCACAGACTGTTTGAGATGTTCGAGTTCACATCTTGTGTTTACCATAACATAGTTACTGAACAGAAATAGATCATTTGAGCTTTGGTGTTTTAGTTGTCATTTTTAGTTTCAAACAACATTGCAAATTAATGAAACATTTGTTTGATGCTCTAAAAGTTATTCCCTCCGTGTTAGTTAAAGTTGATCCATTTTAGATGAGTTGAAGTGAGTGAGTTATCTTGGAAAATCTTATTCGGATATATCACTGTTTTAATTGAAAGTTTTCAAATCTGGAACTTACAAAATGTGTCTTCAATTGTGTTTGAATGTTAGTGTAATTTATCATAAACATTGTGTATAAACATTGAATTGAATTTGAATCATCATTTTGAACATTGTTGATTTATTTGAAATCAAACCAATAAATTTATAATAATAATTCTTAAATCTATTTATGTATCTAAGTAAATTATGAAAGAATAATTCACCTCACAGTCCTATACCGCATGACTGGTTGGATAACAAAGATTGTACAATAATGTACAATCAAATCAATCAACTATCAAATAAAACTAAATATTTTTAAGAGATTACCAATGAGTGATTATTTAGTGTACTGATTATGTTCTGTTAATTTGGTTGAAATAATTAACACACATAATTTATTTATTTGATTGATCTATTTGTTTTACTTTAGTAGTTATGATTTTAATTTACATGATTGTTCAGGCGAATATGAATAAACTAATCTATTAAAATGAAGAGTGAAAATAAACATAGCATTTGAACTAAAAAATAGTTTACGCTTTTGATTAGATCTGCTTTGCATTTGTATATTTCACGGAATAAAATTACAAAGTTTGTTGACGATTAGTTGTTTAGTCCCCTTATTTCAGGAATATGTTTTTGTATGAACATACTTTTTTGAAAGTGAATGTTACACATTTTAAAACACGATATTTTTACCTTAAATCCAAATGGTAAAACTAGTTGTAGTTTACACAAGCTTTAAAGGTAAACCTTATTTTAATGTGTGCTTATTTATTAATGAATGCTTTTTTGTTACAGCGCCAAATTTTGTAAATTCACTCACCCACGGAGACTTTGTTTACTTCTTCTTTAGAGAAACAGCTGTAGAATACATCAATTGTGGCAAGGTACGTAAACAATAGATAGCATATAAGTATATAGTATAGTATATAATCTAGGAATAGTGCTATATATATGTGAACGAATAGCGCTTTTGGCCTCTGGTTGCATCAAAAGAAAAAAGGTCTCAGGTTGGTCTTACTATGCCACCCTCAGGAATAGCTTCTTTCCTACAGAAAAAAATCACCAAATGTAAGTTGTGGGTACATTTGAAAACCTCCAAACCTGATTGCTTATAAAAGTCCAGACATACCAAAATCATTAATTTCCATTAAATATATGCTTTATAGTTCATACCAATCAGTAATACATGTTTTTACCTTCTCTTTGCACAAAGCAACTACAGCATAATTTACTCTATTACTTATGTAACCTAGACTCTGGTTATAGAGTAGTGAGGGAACCTAACCATATTTATATCGTTGTCTGAACTGATAAAAGAATGAGCGGGTGAAATAACGCTGTTCTTGTCCATCTATTGAGCGACTGGCTGGAACGTATTGGAGGAGGAAATAATGATGACAAAAATAATAGTACTATTTAACCTAATACCGAAAAGCTAAGGGTAAGTTAGTGTAGTTCATCAGTTCTTGATTTATTTGTGGTATGTTTTTCTTTTCATTTTATTTTTTTGGTGTACCAACGCTATTAGTTTTTATCTATGAGAACGGTACAAACCCTGGTCTTACTACTATCTGTCTAGTGTCAACCTTTTCTTAAGAACCATCATTAACTGAAAACCAAGTAGCAAATGACTTCATAGTCCAGAAACATTGGAATCGAACCAGCGACCTTCAGATTTTAAGGCAAACTGAAATAAAATCAAGAACTAAGTTAAACTCCTGACTATTATTTCATTTTCCCACCCTAAAAGAAACCAACTTTGACCTCTCATTCTTTTACACAGGATACTCTTAATCTTGTGAATATTTAAACAATATTTTAAAGTATATGCAGAAACATGTGCCAAAGATAGCTGTATGACGGATGAAGCGAGTATCATTACCACTTGTGTGTTGTTCACTCATCACATCCATCACTTTACCGCTAACACACAACACCGCATTGCTCTATGTGCTAATACGTGTCATTGTCTTGCCGGGATCTTGTGGCATTGTTGTTTCATTTGTAAGATAAACTGCTTCTCAGAGGCAGATTGTATAGGAGCTTCAGCTTGTTCATTTGTTTCAACGAGATGTGTGTAATGTGTTTCCGTGTTATAGCCACGCTTTAAAATACGATGTGTTCAGTTTTCAATGTGTTAGTACCAGGCAACAGGCCCCTCTGAATCCAGTACTATACCATGGAAGATTGGAGTTAATATTTCAATTTACATTATTGAAAGAGGTTTAACTATTTTTTAGTGAACATACTTAACCCTGATCATGTTGCTATCCAAGACTGACCTTTTTGTTAGATAGCATCCTTGATGAGTTAGTTACCCATAGAAAACTACATATGGGTCCAGAATTGACACTGACGGGATTGAACCAGCCTTCTTAAGATTTTTAGATGACCCCTAATACCTTGTTGTTACTCACACAAACCATCGTTAGTTTTAGTCTAATTTTGTGACAGCCAATTTGTTTCCTTGTTTAACAAATTAGTAAGCGATTTCACTTTAAATTTTTATTTTGTTTTCAAATATGATTAGATTGTAATTTCTAATAGAATTCGAAATGCGTAAAATTTTATTTAAAATTAACTATGTATAATGTTTATAAATTATTCTTGTATGAGAATTTCATTGGTTTCCATTGTTACATTAGTTCTCTCTAATGTTCCTAGAATGGAGTGTAACATAGGGACATTTTTACCGCAGGAATTACAGGGAGAAGGTAAGCCGCAACGCAATTAACAAGAGGTAGCGAGGGTAATTAGCTTGCGGTGGAGTTTGTTTATTGGCTGAGTTGTCGGAAGTGTCTTTGACTGCGGAGTCTCGTAACTGTCGTGTAACAATTCTACCGACATCACTTACGCCACACTCAAGTAATCAGCGAGTGTAGCAGCGAAGGTGGGCAACAACATTTTGCCAACGATAACTGTGCTTACAAAATTGTAGATCAGATTGTTCGTTAGTTGAAGAATTATGTAGGTGTTTTTCTTCTCTCTCGTATGTACAAGAGGTTACACTATTAAAATATTCCTAATTCGTTCAAATTGATCAAAGTTTATTGTGCCATAGGAAATACATTTAGAAGTGGTTTTTCTAATCGGTTGAATAATAGCAGTCGTTCTGAGAAAACAAATCAACAAAACTGTTTTCATAGAAGTACGATTATTTTTAATGAAAACGCTAAACAAACAATTAGTTCCCATAACAAAAACCGTGATCCACGCTGCGAACAAATTGGTTTCATACAAAGGCTTTGAGTCTGATCAATCAATAATTGCCGCATATGGCGAAGACTCTAGAATGGATAAAATAGAATCAACAGCGGCCATTCATTGTGGTCGGATGGAGTTTGTAGCCGAACGAGTTTCATAACAAAACACACCACGGCTCTATTCGTCGGCTTGGATATGTTTTCTCCACTAATAATCATTTCCTGCTTCACTTTACTCCTAATGTTTGGTTGAAATTTAACTTTTGATTAAAATGAAGCGAATACTCTGTTTGTCATTATTTTGCCAATTTGTTATACCATTATTCCATTATTATTTTATCAGTTCTTGATTTATGTGTGGTATGTTTTTCTTTTCATTTTATTTTTTTGTGTACCAACGCCATTAGTTTTTATCTATGAGAACGGTACAAACCCTGGTCTTACTACTATCTGTCTAGTGTCAACCTTTTCTTAAGAACCATCATTAACTGAAAACCAAGTAGCAAATGACTTCATAGTCCAGAAACATTGGAATCGAACCAGCGACCTTCAGATTTGAAGGCAAACACTGTAACCACTCCTCAGGAAACAACGAAAGAAATCTACCTGAAGGAACTGTCTGGTAGAAATTTTCTGATGGTTATTATTACATTTTGTACTTTGTTTTTTTCTTGGTGTTAAATCAGGTATTTTTGTGTCTTATTTTTTTCAATTGGCAATTTTTAATTTCAAGTGTTTTGCTGAAATTAAAATAAGACCTAATGAGTTGCTTGATAATTTGAATGCAACATTACGCAATTCAACCTACTGTTCTTTCTTTGGTGTAATGACTGCACACATTAAAATACTAGTAAAACCTCTTTATATAATTTCAAACCCGAATTATCACTAGACAAACACAACTACAATGCTCGTGATACAATGTGATATTGGTGTAGGTGATTGGAGCAGACAGCCATTGGTTCTGTCGTGTTTCATGTATCACGTTACTCGTAACAAAACCTGACAGGTGATATTTGTTTGTGAGTCGACGGCTCGACTTTGCTTTCCCCGATATTGATATTAGTTGAACAATCCAGCGTGTTTTGTTGTCAAAAATCTGTTCTGATGGAAAACAAGCTTAAGCAATATTTTTATAGTTTACTTAAAAATGTCTTTATTATAGTTGCGTTGGAAACATTTTAATTAGTAGTGATTAGTGTGATAAATAGCTATTTCCCACGAGAATCACAGATTTGTTATTAGTTTGAGAGCTCAGGATTTTAGGTCTTTGGCGAGTTGGTCAAATTCATGCTTATAGTTTAGTTTTGTTGCCCAAAATTCACAGGCATCACTTTTCATAACCAGGCTTTTAAGATGACAACCAATAGTGTGCTTTTGAAGGTCTAGTAATATTCCGGTAACCTTTTACGTGGTATTCGTCACTTAAGGAGTGACAACATCATATTATGATGTGATTTTGGAATACAATCTTCAAATAATAAACCTGTTTCCTAGACTCAATTATTGCTGTTATTTCTCAAATAAAGTTCAATTGTGACAAATAATGAATCTGAATCCGAATCAAAGTTAAACTTACTATCTTTGTAACCAGATATCTTAAAATCCTGGAAATAATACCTACCTTATACAAATTTATCTTCCAATCCCCCCCCTCCCCCACCCCTGTTTTTGATGCGAAACCCCCCACCCTGTCATTCGAATAGGTAAATATTTCCTCATTCAATGAATTTATTAACACCGTTATTTTTCTTCACATCTTTAAAATACCAATCTAACTTCACACAATGCGTCTGCACATTACAAGATAGGGCAATCATGCTAAAAGGCAGTGAGAGAACGTTATTCACGGAAACGCAGCCTAAAGCTGTGTCGACCGTAAACGTGAGCCTGACCCAACCCTTTATAGACTCAGGTTTACGGCACAATCTTTTATATGAGCACTTCTGCAACGCCCTTCGGCCCCGAACATGCTACAACACATCTCCCGACAAAAGCACTAATGCTCGAGCCATTAGATGTTAAATCTTGACTTGTATTCTTTAAGGTCATACAATAATCTGTAAAGTTAAAACATTTTTTCAGTTCATCAGTATAGTGCCTAGGTGCAGTTTTATCATTTTACTCACAAAATTTAAAAAATTCAAAACTTTAAGGTAAAGAAAAGTCAGAAGTATTCTTGTAGTTGGTACTAATACCTGAGTAGGTTCGTAGGTTAGGCTTTTATATTTTGAAATTCGTTTAATATTAATTGATCTCGAAAGGTGAAAAATCTTTTCTATTAATCGGTTGGTAATCAATGGGGTTTTAAATTTCAGATATTTTAGTTTCTAAATTTGGTTTAGCCTTTAGTTCAGGGAGGATAATATATAATTTTCCCTATCGAGTTATTTCCATCATGCTCTTATAATCTTTAGAAATTTTCACTTTGTGATGTTAGTTAATATAATATGTTTAAGCCCATATGAATCCCAATTCGCGGAAGTATGCTGTATGATTTAATTTTCTGAAGCGTATATGCTTTGATGCACACTGATTTTACTGATGGGCAATTTTATTAAATTCTTTACGCCTGCCATTATTGGTTATGAAATACGGTGCCTCTATTGTGCTATTATGTTATGTTATTACATTGAAAGCTGCAAAGCTTTTGTAGTCTATTTCAAAACCTTAATACGTTACACTAAATTTTTACGTACAGGATGTAAAATGCAATAATAGTAAAAAATTTCTTCAATAAACGAATAATCTGCCCCACAATGTAGCTTGTCTAGTGGATTGAATAGAGGAATTTGCCCAGGTTCGAATCCCACTAATCGCCAATCGTTCTTAGTTCTTAGCAATGTCATAACAATTTGATCTGGGGGTTTAACGTCTACGCTAAGTTCTAGGTTCTCATCTGGTCAAAAAGTCTTGGTCTTGGTCTCTTTAGCGACGACAAATTTACATAGAGAACTATTTTCATTAAAAGCTTTTTTTTCAACTACACTATTCAGTTTCTAAATCAAGAACATAATGACCAAAAGGAACTACTACAACTAGGAGTGTTCTCTATAAGGAGGGGCTTTACCGTCCAGTTTATGGGACAGATTTTACAACACCACTTCCCTCAACTTGGCTGAAGTAATCTAAACGTCTGCCGCTACAAGTTAATTGTAAGACAATGCTGTTCTATGGATACAATCGTAGTCGCGATAGCGTTTTGTAAATAGTACATTTCCAAAGTATGAAAGATGTGTTAGGATGGCATTTTTAGAATTACTTATTCTTTGTATTAACTGTGACTTTTCCATAAAAAAAACTGCATTTATTTCTTTTCTTTTATCAGCAATATATTTTTTTTAACAAGAAATTTGAGAAAAAGAGTGTTGTGTGAATGTGTGGTTTTGAGTGATAATAATTAGTTTTTAAATGAACCTCAAAGACAATGTTTTTTGTGATAAATACATGTTTTCAATGAATCTTTTCACTTATCACTAATATAATTTTTCAGGCAGAAATCGGATTGATGAAAAGTTGTTCGAGTTTAATTAAAAACAAAGTTCATAATTCTTGACCTCCTTTAGTTCTTTGGTTGTTTAAGCTCTTGGAAAAACTAAATAAAATTAGTGTCCAATTTAAGTTTCACGAGATTTTCTATTATGTTTGACTATTTGGGACAGTAAGCCAAAAAGTCTTGTGTCAAATAATATTTCTGTTACAAAAACAATGCTTTTTAAATCAATATTTAGTTGTTAAATTGATGTACCACATTATATTTCCTAGAAAGCAACGGTTTTGTTCCATATGAAAGCGCTAATGTCAAGCATAACTGATAAATAGTCATAAATCATTTTTCATGTTTCCTTTGTCATCAGTGTTTCTAATTCACAAGGCATCATACATGGAATTTCAGCTGGAAAAGCATTATTGTCCACCAGAACAATGACCTATTCACTATTCAGTGTTTGAATTTTTTCACAGTAATCTGACTCTGGTTACAAAAGAGCTTCAAGATAATTCTGAAATCCTATTTACCAGGTTCAACATGTTCTATAAATAGTTCGCTTTTGTGGTATTAATGTATTCAGTAACGGTGGACAATTGTGTTAGATTAGTTCACGGAATAATTAAACCCAACAATGCATAATTTATCACACTACATTGTTGGGAATTGAATTAGGTTTAATTAAAAACTAGATTTTGTAAAAAAAAATGTTTTTGTTGTTATTTTCAACTTTATGGAAAGGGTGTTTCAATGTTTATACTTTGTATTGTCACATACTCAGTATAACATTTTATTTTGATTAGAAACAAGTGGTGGTTTTGTTGGAAAGATCTCCTTATTTTGTCTATTCAAATTAAGATAGCTTTTTGGATATAAATTAAATAAAAATAAGGTAAAACATATTGGTATTAGCAAATTTCTTAATAGTAGTTATTACTGTAAGTAGCACAGAGCTCACCTAGGCTCAGGACCGATTTACTTTATCATTTTGATGTCTCCAGAGGCCAAAAACACTTTTCGTTCAAATTGTTTTGAACAGTTTTTTTATATGTTCATGTGAAATTAACAAAATATTTTTTATAAACAGAGCCTGAAACTGCATATGTTCATAATGTTACTAAAGACAAATTACTAAGACTCCTTGCGCACCCATTGGGGGGTGTTTTAGAATCTCATGTCCATTCAAAGTTATAATGTTACTGATTAGAGAAAGCCTTCAATGCTCTGTAGCCTGTATTTTTCATCATGTAGGCTGGAATGATAAAAATACAAAATTATTTTACTTATGGGAACAAGTGGATGGTACTTATTGAAACCCTATGCTTCAGCAGGAGCAAAAAAACAAAAAACCAAGATGAAGTATAAAGGCAAAATAAATTTTGAAAAGCTTAACAGATATATTTAGTAATTATTGATTAATGTTTTTTATCTTTTGCAGGCTGTTTTCTCGAGAGTTGCCAGAGTATGCAAGTATGATCGCGGAGGTCCGCATCGCTTCAGGAACCGTTGGACTTCGTTCCTCAAATCTCGCCTCAACTGTTCGGTCCAAGGAGACTTTCCATTTTATTTCAACGAAATACGTGAGTGTTTGATGTGTAATGTTCAATCAAATGAGCAATGTAGACAAAAAGGACTCTTGGTATTTTTCTGTCAGTTGATTGGAAATACAAGCAATAATCAGGTACGATGTATGTCAAAGTACACAACTAGCACAGTGATATAACCAATGATCAAACACACATCAGAGGAAGTACAGTACAATTTTTATGATTCCAAACTGTCATTTACTACCAATATTCATGGGTGAAGTACCGCCTAGTTTTTATTTTGGAATGCTCTTGTATTATGCATATAGGAAAACAACCAAATTTGGACACCTAATCTTTGCAATTAAGTCTCGAAATCTAATTAAGATCCGTTAAATTAATTACAGTAAATCCAAGAAAGTAGTAAACACAAAAAAAATTTTAATTATAACAAAAAGAGTTTCTGGTTTGATACTTTTCCAATATTACTGATTTATGTCTGAAAGTTTCACTTTGCAAAAGTTCATTAGAATCAGGGTAAACAGGAAACGTAAGGGGTAATTCACAGTTGCGATAACTCGTGATGAAAGTTTCTCAAGTCAGTGGCAAAGCTCGGCCGAGTTTTATTTTCCACCGTTGAATGAGTTTTCTCGTCAGAAAAGGAAAAGTCATTATCCATTATGATTGAGACTGCAAAGTATGTTAAAGAGTGTGCTAATGGAATACTAATTATCTTATTAGCAAGCATTTTGTTTGAGGCGAGATTATAGAACATCACAGGGAATAACAAACTAAATGATAATTGAATATTCCTCCCTCCCTGCTCACTGCTGACTTGGCTGTAATTAAAAACACATTTCCAGCTCATGATGGCAGCGCAACCGTGCTTTTTACCCCAACATTTAACATTTCCTTTTTGCTCGTTTTGATTCAATAAATATCATAGTGAACATTTTTATTTGATTTGTTGTTCTTTATATTTATTTATTGTTTCAGTTATATAGCTTACCATTTGACATTAGTGTAAAGTACTTTGCGACCTTTTACCTTTTAATTCTTTATGGCAAAAATTGTTGTGAAAGTAGGACACGGCACAAAACTTTTTCATAAAGTATTCTTTATAAAAAAATAACAAGCATATTGTTCTTGATGGTTATGAGACTATATTGAGCAGTCAGAAACACTAGAAATATGGTCTTGATTGTTGAGTATACATTTAGTGTCAATAAAAAGTCTGGGGACTTCTATTTAACTTTTGAATTGGTTATTCCAAGTTAACCAACATTTTGCATCTTTCTGGGTAGAAGTAGTAGCTTTGTACATTGGACTCATTGGTTATCTTTGGGGCAGTTCTTAATTTTTTAATGTCGATCCTTTTTTAGTGGCACCTTGTTTTAAAGGTCTTTACAAAATAAGAACAGCAAAAATAAGACGTATCTCTCTATTTAAACCACAACAATTAACAACATTTTCAATTTTGCAGCCACTTTGAATTTTGATGAAACTATGTAGGCTATAAGGCAAAGTCTTAATAGAGTTTTTATATTCTTAATGTATATTATTTGAAGACCCAAAATCTAATAACCTAACGCAGCACTAGAAAGGGCATATAATACTATTTAGTTGCCAGCACCAGTTTTACCAACTACCCTCAACAATGGTGTATTTCGTAGGCAATTTAATTGTTTTACACACAAATCTGCATTAAGTAACCTCATTTGAAAGTATTTTTAATTGATGAAAGTGCAAAAACTAGGTAACTCTTTCTGACAATCAAATTTTTGCCATATTCGTATCTGAAAAATGTAAGTTTATCTGCCAACGCACATTTTAAAGACCAATCAACTTACGAAGGAAGGAGGTTTGAACAGTTAGTTGATGGTACCTTCAACTCGCAATGAACCCAATAAAAAGACCAAGAACCAAGTTTCTGTTGTTGTATCTCCGTAATTTCCTAACTTTGTCACATCCTGTTGCAGAATCTACGACGGAGCTGGTGGAAGGCACGTACGGCTCGGTGTCCCGTCAGCTGATGTACGCAGTGTTTACGACAGCGGCTAACAGCATCGGAGGCTCGGCTGTCTGTGCGTTCTCCCTACAAGACATCAGTGACACCTTCGAAGGCAACTTCAAGGAGCAGTCGGAACTCAACTCTAACTGGCTACCAGTACAGAGCATGAAGGTGAGTTGCTATAGAGGGTGTTGGTTAGCATTACAGTATTCCACAAATTTGTTGGAAGAGGAATGAGTTTGAGAAATGGGTTATTATGAAAACATGCTAATTATTCAAACAGACGTAATATTGTATCTATTTATTTGCTTTCTGATCTATAGGTACTGTACTAAAGTGGGGAGGAAGCTAGTCTAGTGGTTAGGTGCAGGACTTTGGTTCCTGAGGTTCTGGTTTCAAGTCCCGTCAATCACCATCCAATAGAATTTATCTAAGTGATAATGGCGCAACCCTTCAGCCTAGCGTGAAGTAATGTGAAAAATAATCCAGGTCTAGAGCCTACTGTCCTAGAAGAAAAAATCTGAGCTACTTTAAAAAATTACATTAAATCCAACCTGTGAAGAAAATACTTGACATATTATTATCTGAAAATCTTGCTTATGGTGTTGACTGACTGGCTGGGCTAGGCTACTACTTAGCACTGCAGTCGTCTGGTACGCTTGACTCACTAGTTTTAATATCCACAGGTTATGCGAGGTCCTATTGGCAAAGGCAATACACACACTTTGTCCTCATTAAAGTTACACTGAGTGTTATAGTTTGTGTCCCTCTGTGAAACTTACACATTCAACACAACTTCCCATTTGCCAACTTCAATTAAATTTAATTTTATGTCTAATATGTTTGTTGTAATTGATCGTTCTCATTAGGTTATTAGATGGGTTAATAAAATGTTTGGTGATAATCCCAAATAAGCAACAGCTTATGAAAGCTACTAATCAATTATCTGCTATAATTGATTAGTAAATATTAGTTACAAGTACAAGGTAATTTTTTGTACTTGTTTCTTCAAATAAACAGACTAAAAAAGACCGCGGAAAAAAATGAAACTGTTCTATGCAAAATCACAAAATATTACAAATCAACAGTGTAAACCCTGAACTCTTTTTGACACAGTGTGTCTATTCCTGTATAAATGAACCCATTTATTTCCCTAGTCGACGTCATACATCAACGTGAACTTGTCTGTGACATGTTTTGAAACTATTTTTGCACTGGAGACAATAAATATGCAGACTCTGATATTGTAGGGTGGGGGGAGGTGCCGATTACATGAGGCTCGTGATTGGCAGATTGGGGCCGACGCTATTGGATTCTGTCAACTAGGGTGACGGGAAATGGCAATTAGTTTAAATTGTATCTTCAACATTCATGCATTGGACAAGCAATAATTATTTTACTAGTTGAAAATATGTAATTATAATTACATGTGATCTATTTTAGAATTTTGAGTGATAGTGTTTATTGTGTTTTGTTGTTTTCAACAAAGCTATTTTTTAGTTTTCATTAAGATTTCTCTTGATAATCCGACTCACTCGGTAATCCAACGTCACACTAAATAAGTGTACTACAATTTGATTTGTGTTGTGCAAGAAGTCTTGTGTCTTTTGTGTTTTAGTCCTGCTGTTTTAAGATATGAAATGGTACACAAGTCAGGTTGAAGAAATAACTGTCTTTTGAGTTTCTCTTTTAAAGCTAGATAGACACTATAAGAGTCTGAGGGATAGAGCCTTAAGTTTGGAAATGAGGCAAAAACCTTTCCATTCCAGGCTTAAACAAGTTTTCCAGTTTCCCGCTGTCACATGAGACGATTTAGATGGATTCCTCTGTAGATACATTAATCTTAAGTTTATCCTGAATCCAACTGACATAACTTTCATGATTCCAGGTACCAGATCCGAGGCCGGGTCAGTGTGTCAATGACTCGAGAACTTTACCAGATTTGACTCTCAACTTCATCAAGACTCATTCTCTCATGGACGAGTCGGTGCCTTCCTTCTTCAAACAACCGATCGTCATTCGAACCAGCTTCAAGTAAGTTACCGCTACATACTAATATAGGTTTAGATTACCTGTTTGCTATCAAAACGATCCTTGATCTTTGATGTTGTTGACTATTGTTCTTTGTTGTATATGTATTTTGTATATTTATTACTTTGATTCCTAAACACTGTAATTGCTGTACAATCTGGTACTAACTGATGTTTTACATTTCAGCTACCGTTTCACACAAATAGCAGTGGATCCACAGATCAAAACTCCGGGGGGCAAATCGTATGACGTCCTCTTTATTGGAACAGGTAAGTCGTTCTAAATCATTTATCAGTAAGTTATTAATAGTTCCACTAATGAGTATCAATTTAGAACCATTTTTCAATCCATTCAAATAAAATATTGCACAAGTCACACATTTACTGACAAATTTTTAGTTTGAAAATAACTCGATCCAATTCTGTTTCAGACACGGGCTACGTGTTGAAGACGGTCAACGCAGACTCTGCAGACACGATAGAACGTGTCAGTCCGGTGGTGATCGAGGAGATACAAGTGTTTCCTCCGAACGTGTCCATCCGCACGCTGAAGGTGGTGCGGGGAGACAACATGGAGGGTCGGCTGGTGGTCGTGTCTGACACGGAGGTCATCTCTATCAAACTACACCGCTGTGATAAAGTCGTCTCAGGCTGCAGGTATGTTAACACAGGAACAAAGTTTATAAGTGCAAGGTTCATTAGCAGATAAGGTAAGGACATGGGCTAGTGAGAAGCGAAGCCATGAATTGGACTTGAGGTTTTCTAAGATGTGATCCTCAATCAAAAACTCTGTTGTGTGGTTTTAAAATGTTTTGGTTGTTCAATTTTCTAGACCTGTCATAACTTTAAGCCCTAACTCTTTAAACGCAGAGGGATTTTTGTTGGATCATTTTTGTAGCAATCCTAGCATAGGACATCCACCTCACTCTGCTGGTTGCCTGAGAGTGTCTTGACACCTTTTGAGGTCGTGCCTTCTATCTTCAATTCCTCCACAAGTGTACTACTGTGTCACTTTTCAAACAAAACATTTACTCCATCAAAACAAAACTAGCCAGTTTAGGCTGCTTTCCGACATTATTAGTACTATTTTGAATAGTTCCAGTAAGTGCAGACATCTAATCTGTGGTTTGTTTTGTCGTGTTACAGCGAGTGTGTGGCCCTCCAAGACCCGTACTGTGCGTGGGACAAGATCTCCAGCAAGTGCAAGTCGGTGGGCGCGCCGCGGTGGAGCGATGAGAAGGTCTTCTATCAGAGCATCTCTACAGGAATACACAGCCAATGTCCAGCAAGTGAGTTACTTAGACTGTTATCTAATGTTTCAAACCTTACTTTTTCTTAATGAACGTTGTTCTAAAAGGAAAGCGCAGTAAACAATTTCAAATCAACAGCTTAGAAATCAAAACTTTTGATTGAAGAGAAATAGCAATGTCGTTTTGTTTGAACTTTTGAGAAAGCCCAGTAAGGTGTACTACACCTCACCTGCCTTACACTAATCCTCTTAAAATATTTTTTTCTAGTTACTAGTTAGATCTTTTTCTTTAACATCCGACCTTAACACCTTGTTTGTTTCTCAGGCAAAGTAATGAGTCCCAGAGAATACACAGGCAAAGATCCCAACTCTCCTTCACACATGGACAACGACCGTCTGGGCAAGGACATCCACAAGGGGTCGATCATCAACATCCGAAACAAGGTGGAAGAATCCGACCCTGGTTAGTATCAAATGAGATCTGGGAATAATGTTTCTTGCAGGAAAACTTATCGACAAACTATTTTAAGTGATAGTGTTAGGAGATTTAAAACCCTGAACTCATTTTATGATGAAATAGGATGCCTTACCTCCATACTGATGGAGGACAAAAAAAATAGTCAAAAATATTTTTGCCAACAAAATGGTGCTGACAGGTTTTGTTGAACGTGCAGCTTTATCACAATTATTAATAAATACTGTATATAAATGTCACAGTCACATGGAACAAACAAAAAAATAGCGCTAGTCCTTCCTGTCAGAAGCGCTATAGACTGGAAAACAGTGATAATGTTGGACTTTTAATGTAACTTATCAGTATTTTTGAAAAAAAAAAATATGAATTTAGACTGAGGAAGCGAACCTGTTTTCGAGTTATTATGGCAAAGAATTACTAGTTGAACCCTTTAGAAACACATTTTTTCTGACCATGTTTTAACCCCATCACATGATGTGTAGGTCCGTCCATGACCACCGTGGACACCTCCCCAGCCCAGTACAGTCTAGAGACGCTAGCGATGGTAGTCGTGGCTGCGTCTCTAGCCGCACTCCTCGCCGGGTTCGTCACTGGCTACATGTGTGGCCGCAAGTGTCACAAGGACGATGATGACAATCTGCCCTACCCAGACACTGAGTACGAGTACTTCGAGCAACGCCAGAATGTCAACACGTGAGTATACAAGTACTCTGTATGGTTGTCAAAGTATATTTCAATGTTTTTAGAATTTATTGTGTGGAAAGCAGGCTTTTATGTATGGGAAAGTGTCCAAACTGCCACAGGAGACACCATATAGACAAAACATTAGAATATATCACTATACTATAAATAACCTGCTATCCTCACAAAAAATCCTAAAAACTAGGCTCTTGTGCTCTATGTTACACTCATATATTTTAATGCTGTTCAATAATCAAAACCAAAAGGTTGCTGGTTTTGTCCAGAGAAAAGGATTTTTGAAGGATTCAAACCGGACCCAGTTGACAGGTTTTGGCTAATGAAATAAATCAGTAAGTAATTAAAGGGAAATATTGCCTTTCAAACAAGTTTTGAGTGCATGATTAATGTGAGGACAATGTGAAATAAGATACAGAATTTTAAAAATTAAAAATAACTTGTATGTACAAAAAATTATTGTATACTTAAGTACAGAAAATTAATTCTAAATGTTTTTCAAGTTTCTGAGCTTCAGAGATTATCCACTGTTTAAATGCCTATTTACACAAAATCTGAGTATATTTCTTTCAGTGGATACACACGCAGTAAGGTTATGTAAAAAGTAGCAAATTGCCAATGTGAAGGATGCTTGATCATAGAGCAATTGGTCAACCAATTAATGCTGCTGTCTAAAAATAGGTCAACGTTTTCACTCACAAAAGTTATCATACCCTTAAAATGGGTTAAATGCTCCACAAATATTTTCTTTTTTGACTGCACTACTAACAAATTATTTACAAGCTGTGTTGTTTTGTAGTCGGCGTCTGGCGCCGGAACCCAAGCTACTGGCACAGGAGGAAGTGACGTACGCAGAACCTGTGTTAGTCGCCCCCAACAAGCCTCTCAACTCACCCAAGGCGACTCTGCGCAAACAGGACAACATGTTCCAGTTCCAGGACGGATACAACGCTCCACCGTACCAACGGCCGACCAACAGAGACCACTTCGGCACCCTCAGGTCCCAGCGCGACGCTGCCAAGGTGAGAACATTCTACAAATCAGTTCAAAACATGCGTCTGTCCTTCACTGTCAGTAGCGCAATGAACTCCGAATCCATGCCTAATCAGTGTAACATGTTAAAGTTAATTATGGGTCTTCTTGGAACTCCCTTACAGTTAAGTACTGAGGTTAGCTAAACTCATCATGTCGTAACACTTCGGCCCAAGTAACACTTCGGCCCAGTAACATTTCGGCCCGAAACCCTCAGATGTGGCCTACGGTCCAACTCTTTACCTGCCCACTAGTAACACTTCGTCCCAACAAAATATTTGACAGGTTAGGTTAGGTTAGGTTAGATTAGGTTAGGTTAGGTTAGGTTAGGTTAGGTTAGGTTAGGTTAGGTAAGATTCCACCGATTCTCCGTCATGTGAGGTCAGAGGATGCAAGGGGTAACGGTTGGGCGACATTCCACCAGAGGGTGGTTGCAAAGTATACAGGCCATGTACCTCTTACTACCTGAACTGCGTTCCTCAATCCTTGTCAATTTTTCGTCGGGCCGAAATGTTACTCCATTAGCTTATTTAATCATCTGTAAAAGCGAGTGGGACGAAGTGATACTGTTTTTCTAAGAAATTTGAGTTTGGCCGAAATGTTACTGGGCCGAAGTGTTACTACATCAAACTCATAGATTTAGTTTCAAAATATAACCAGGATACTTACAGCATGATGTGATTTAGTTTCAAAATACAACCAGGATACTTACAGCATAGCTGCCTTAATTAGTCAGATAAGGAATGTATGAAATTTGTTTAGTATAATTGATGATATGTTTTTCAGAATGAGGCTGCAGGCATGGGCTACCGTGACGGGTTCGGCACGACTCGCAGTGTCAAGAAGGTGTACCTCTGAGAGACAGGGGAGGAGGGGGGTCGCAGTCTACCCGGGAGAGCTAGGGGGGGGCGCAGGGGGCACCATCCTCTCGCCACCACCACGCCCCCCTCCAGTTCATCTCCCTCTCCCCCCTCCTCCAGTCCCTCTCCCCCCACCACGCCCCCGCCGTGCAGTTACATCTACCGCACCTGAACCGCAGTTTGCTCCTCACTGTTGAATGGACTATATTTTACTGCTCAGATGTAGGGAGGAAGGCCAGGTCGAAGTGGTAGAGTATATTTTTAGAGCGTAAAGGGTTAAGGATCAGTTGCGGTGTGGTTATTTTTGACGTAAAACATTTGTACGCTAGGATAGTTTTCCTGTCCGGTTTCGTGCGCTACTTTTGATGGGCTTTTTTCGTACAATTTCCCCCGTATGTTATCGGTCCGCCCCTTTTGAAGGGTCACTACTGGGTTCCCTGCTTTTTGTATTATTGATTACGTTTTGTTATCGTGTGAGGCAAAGCTTTTTGTGTGCGAGTAGAAGGATATATTTATCTAGTTAGTTACGACGCCATTTGTAAATAAAAGATATATTTGCGGATTAAGATGCGTGCCGAGGCACGGATACTTTACACCTTTCTCCATTGCTTTGCATATTTATGTGTAAACATTGTAATATAGAGTTTCTAAGTTACAAAAGTACATAGAACATAAGAATGGGTGTTGAATTTTTAAAAAGACTGATCTGTTATACATTTTCCTTCTTTCACTAGATAAGGTGTGACTGGAATCTGAATTACGTCTGATATTAACCTTATTGTACTCAGCCTATTGTTCTGTACAATGTTGATGATAAATTTTATAAAATCTAATCTACTCAAATAAATTTTACTACAGGCTTTCTGATTTTCACAATGGAAGTCTTTAACACTTTATTTACTAGATCTCTAAACCTTCTGGCTGGTCCAGAATTTTCTTTTCTTTACCACGTTAATCGATTGTTAGTTTCACACAGTTCCACTGAAATTGTCACTGATTTTGTCTTTTAAGTTCAAGACTCAGTCTGAAATGCAGAGCAATACAAATGAAACGGCACTCTGATAAAGCGAGCAAAATGAAATAAGACTGAGTCCAACCAAAGATTTCGATTGCACAGTCTTTTTAAGTTATACTGTAAGTTGTAATTTTATTTGTATAGCTATTTTAACATTTTACACAAATTAGAATTTCATAATTAAGGTATTAAAATTTAGGTAAATTACCTATTTGTTTACCTTACGTTTAACATTGACTCAATAGTTTTAATTTAGGTTATTTTTCATGTATATACATAGTTTTTAACATGACATTTTTTAATCAAACATTTGTATACATATGTCTTTGTTTATGTATTTTACCATGATTTGTATGTGTTTTGTAGCTCTCTAGTGTAGACTCTTAGTTGATCAATAATGTTTACAATAAGATATGTTAGATTGTGTTAGTGAACTATCATCACTCATGTAGTGTTAATACTATGTCAATTCAATTTGAAAGAGAAGTCTAGGTACCCTCTAGTCACCCATCACATCAAGCTCTTTTGCATTTTAACTTTTATCAAAGATAAATCATTTAAAATTGTTCTCTATCGTTTTACATGGCACAGCACTGATTTGCACAAAATTGCTTTCTTGTGTTAAGTTTTTTTTTTGTATATTATCGCTTCTAGTTCTAGTACAAATTGTCAGTAACTCACAACCTTGATAAACATTTTCGATCCTGACCATCCCTTAGCAATAAAATTCTCCTTTTGTTGATTTTACATAAGTTTACTTTAATTCACTTCAAACAAAAAGAGTTTCAGTATTCATTATCTATCATGTTAAATCACAAGGAGTCCGCCGAGTGCTGATATTCAATAGTTACCGTCGTTGCTCAATGCATCAGAGCTTGGTGATTCTCCTCTCAAGCAATTTGCTTTCTTCATATGGGATATGAGTTGCCCTTTTCTGTATTATACTTTTAATTTTTTTGCATCCCGAATCCATGTTTCTTTTCCGTAGGCTAAGAATATTATATATATAGCTATTTTGTAAATATACGATGTTTCTTAAGTACATATGTTTACTATTTAAACTATTACTATTAACGAGCATATATTATTATACATGTAAATGCTTCTTCCATCGTGCAGTGCCAGCCAAGCTGTTTTTTAATCTTTAATAGTTTAGAGTTTTGTAATAATAAAATATTAAAAAGCAAAAAGGACAGGTTTAGAGTAGAATATGACGCATGGATTGTAACATTAAAATAGTTGAGATTTGAAATTTATTTAAATAATAAGATATACACGTTTCACTAGTTTGCCTTTTGTATACGTGAGGCATAATTTTAATATAACAGGTTGTTTTTATAGGCGTAAATGTAAGATAATTGTCTAGTTTTGTTTTGTAAAACGTTGGAAACGTGAGACCGTTTGTTGATGATAGTAGTTTTGTCACTATAAGATGTTAAACTCACTACAGGAAGATGACCTTCTCGACTACGACACTCCATGTAAAATATTTATACCCTCTCATTCCAAACACCGAGTCCATTGTATATTTTGTACAATGTATCCGTTAATTTATTTAATCGTCGAAAATTAATTGTATTTTTGTAGATGTTTATAGTTGATTGTAAATTCTAATTTTATTCGTTTTAGGCTAATTTTTACTCCAAGTGTAAATAGTTTCATGAGAGTGGCCTAAGCTTCCCAAAAAGAAAGGGTTTTATTTTCTCTTGTTGGAGTGATTCTTAGCCTAAATGATCGTGTTTAGAGTTTGTTAATTTTTAGCCCGGTTCATTGCTTTATATCGATTAGTTTTGTATAGTTTAATCCCGTTTCTACATTGTGACTGCTAAATGGAAGAGTTGTGTTCATATTTCAGGTTCTTCTACTAACAAAGAACTGTAACTCGCAAACAAATCGCTATTGCCATTTGAATCTTCTTTGATTTGGCTTCTTTGTTTTTATTTCGCTTATGTCTTCGGATGCGACCCTCTTCTCTACGCAGGTTTCGTAGGTATCGGTCTCAACTTTACTACTGATAATTATTCACAATATTGGAAATAACAAGACTCGTTGATCAAAATGTAACATATTGCAAAATTTGTATCTAAAATTACAAATGTCATCAAGGTGACATGATTAGACTCTTTACCAACTAATGTCACTTCCCAACCAAATGAATACAATAGTTATCTATCTGCGTGCCTGTAGCGGTTGATGGCGACTTGTCACTTGTTTTCATCATACATTAGAATGTATGTAGCTACTTGTAGGGGTGATACGATAGGTTTAGAAGATTTTTGCCATTTTTCTATAACTCCATCCCACCTCTTCCATTGCCTCGGTTTTTCAGTTGGGTTGCAATGGATGCCGAATAGTCCTGACGGTAGCGACTGTCTATTGTTAACACACGCTGATTATATTACATAGTTGCAACTTTAGCATCCTCTTTGTATTTTGTATCATCACATCAGTATATAATTTTATTTGTGATCATGTAATGAACCAATATATCAATTAAATGATTTTGATTAGGTAATTGACTTTTCTTCTCGCACCTAATACCAACTTGTTTAAGTTTTATGTATCCCAGTTAGAAAATTAGATTAAGTAAGTCAACTCAATGGATGGTTCCCATCGTTGATTCTGATACTGGTGTAGACATATTGATAGCGACCAGCTCGCCAGTTTATTCGCTAAATATACAGTAGTTATACAATAAAAGGTTAAATTACCTGTGTCCGCCAGTCGATCCTTATTATAACTAAAAGTCTATAAGGATCGACTGGCGGACACAGGTAATTTAACCTTTTATTGTATGTCATACCGATCCGGAACAACAACAAACAACATAAAATACAGTTGTTAATTGAGCAGGAACAGCACAGTTGATTGACACATTACAGATTATATAGTTTAAAATATGTTGTTGCCTTTTTTCAGTTTGGCAAGGTGAACTACAGTATTTCATACAATCTCTGTCATTTTTCCCCCTTAAGGGGAGGTGGAATCCCTATCTCTGTAATGCTAACATAATGTACCTTTTTGGAAAAACTATATGGCCTATCTCTCTGAAATTTTTGTCAGTTCTTTGTATACCTTTGATACATGTGCTGAGTTTTTTTCAGGCTTTTAAACTAATAAATAGCTTAGATAAAAAAAATTTTGGAGGTACTAAAGATTTTCCAAATTTCTTGTGATACATATATTTTTTTACCAAGTAGGATGGAATTAGGCCCTAAAAAAAACTCAGTGTGTTTAACACTATATACTATAACATACATGTTGTGTAAAAATTTTAACTCGCTATCCCTAGTAGTTTCTGAGAAAAGGTACATAACATGACAAAAATAACGATTTGTGTATAACTTAGGCCTTGGGCCTAGGGGTATAGAAAATATGCAATATATGTTATTTTGCCTTAAACATTTCAGCCCCATATTATCTTCCGATAGCTTTTTCCAGTTTTCTTTCTTTCTTTCAAAGAATTGCAAAAGCTATTGCTGTCCCCATCACCAAGGTAACTTATATAACACCAAGGGCGTCATATACTCTAGCTACGTCCTTGAGAATACTCTGCTGTCAGACTTGAGGACTACGCTAGTCATAATCAAGAAATAAAAAATTACAAAATAATACTCTTTCTTTATTATTATTTTTGTACATTATAGAAAACTTAGTTCGCACAACCTTGATACAATATGGTACAAACAGGCTACCATTTGTTTTACTGTTGAATTCTAAGTTTCCTGTGAAGTTTTACATCATGACTTCTTCTTTTTCACAGTTCACGTCACCAACAATCTGAAAACGATTGTAGATGAATAAACAGATTTCCAAACTAAAAATTTAAAGTTTCTATGATTGGAAAAGGTTTGTACAGTATTTATACGTCATTGAGTCAATTTTCACCATAGTGTCAACACTCAAGACATTTTCTGACAAAGATACGATCTTGAATTTATGAACACCATGCTCAAACAAACTTAGAGATTGGAAAACAACTACTTTCTGTACAGTGTTGAAAATATAATTTTTTAATAAACAAAAAATGAAGTACTTGACCAGAAGTGAAGGACTGAACTGTCCCCTGCCACCACACGTACCGGAGAAACAATAAACCAGAAAATGCACCAGTTTCACATTCCTTTGCAATAGATCACGACTACGATTGATGAGACAACTTACTCAGCACAGAGATCTGACCCAGTGTTGTTCAAGCTACTGTGCTGCTGAGGAATTCAGTTCTGGGTGGAGCGAGCGAGTCGTGTAATTTACTGACGGCCGTTTGTACAATCTGTCTGAAGGTCTCGTCATCCTCACAAGTCACTTCCTGTCAAACAAGTTTAAACTATTGGAGTGCATCTCATACATGAAAATAAAACAAGACAGTTGTCAATGGAATTGCAGCTTTTTCTCGAGTAAAGAACTATCTTCTTTAAATCAGTTCCTGATTTTAACTAGGCCTATTAAATTTTACGAGTCAAGTAGTATCGTTGACTTTAAATATCATAATACGACAATGGATTTAAGCTAGACATTCCAAACAACAGCTTTTCAATTTTTGCGAAACAGGACACAAAGTAAAATGTGAACAACACCAACCATTTGTCACATTGTCAAATTTTATTTTTTATCTTGTTTCACTTAAACATTTTTTTGTAGCTGTGGTATTTTCTATCGGAATGTGGTTATAGTTGAGAATTGTTTAGACTTTAAGTTGGGTTTTTAAAATTTGGTTTAATATACATAAAATACAGCCTACACACTGTTATTTGACAGTTAGCCAGTTGATTACTTAAGAGGTCTTAGTTTATTGAGGCTCTCTAAGAGTGTGTTTGTTGAGCTTATTTAAAGCTGAACACCGTATTACACTTAGAAACACAAAGTCTATTACAATACACAGAAGGATAAAAATTGACCCAGAAAAGATATGGCTTTTATTCTGAAACTTGGCTGAAAATAACTTACTAGATTAACGAGATCAATGTTTGCCTTCTTTCCGTCAACGGTGACGTAGAGTCTCTCGCCTTTGAATATCTTAGGTACAGAGTCTTCACCAAACATCTCCTGCAGCATTTCAATCAAGCATTCCTGCAAAAAAAAAGGGTTTAGATGGACAAGGATTATGTCGGCAACAAGGTATTTAACCTTTAGAATTGTAATTGTTGAGCAATCCGGTAGGTAACACCTAAAAAATAAAGTTATTATAAGTAAAGCAGTGATTTTATTTTGTCTCAGATCATGCTGTTGTGTTGTGATGATCTGTATTATTTTTCAAATAACTGATTAAATTTAAAATATAACCTTTTATCAAAGACACAACTACAATACTTTATTTTTCAAAGGTTGAATGAATGGCTATTCATTGACTTTTCATTAATTATTCATATTTGTTCACAATGTGTCTATTTTTAGGTTAGAGCGAAATTCCTCCTCAGGGATTCGGTTGCCCAACTGGTGTGTTCGGATCCATAGCTTTAGCCTCACATAACATTAAATGAAAATAAATAAGGAATGGCAGGGGCCTGTTTCATGGTTAACTACAAACTAATATTATAAGTAAATCAGCAGATTGCCCAATGCAAGTCTAATAGAGATTACAAGTTACAAGTTAGAATTTGTTACTTGTAGTTTATTATGAAACTGTCCCATATCATAAACTAAAATTCATGTTTTGTTTGTTCATTTTTGGAGCCAAAAAACTAACTTAGTTACAAAGAGAGAAAAACAAATATTACAAAGCAACTCAAATAAAAAAAATAACAAATAACCAAAAATGAACATATTTGTTGATTCTTTCACCCACGAATAAAATAAGTAAATCATTTAAACTGAAATTTATTGAGGTAAAATTGTATACCAAAGTATCAGACATACCTTAAAGTGCATCCTGTCCATCTTGGAGGGAACAGGGAGAAATTTGCTGCCAGGATCAAGGGATTCAGCCTGCAAGACGGCAGTCAACACACAGTCTGCGAACATGTCATTGACTGGGGTTGCGATCCACTGTAACATGGAAGAGGCACTATAGTAAAAAGTATCAAAATAGGCCTAACAAGGGAAATTCAAACAACATTTAAAAACGTTTTTTAAATATAAAAGACACCTAGATTTTAACATAATCGATGCAACAAAAATATTGGGGTGCTTAATACTACCGTAGATAAAACATACTCCCTTGTGTTGCTTAATCTAAGCTACTACTGTGCATCACAAAGTCTTTACATTATCCCAACTACCTCCCCACCATAACAGTCTGTACTAGTTCCCATTCCATTGGCCAGTCTACAATAGTTGCCATCTGTCGAACTCTTTACCTAACAACCTACCATTGTCTTTTAAGTACTGAGAACTGTATATCAGATGATAATTCACAGCTCGGTTTCCACAGCTTCTTGTCCTCTAGAGCCTCTACTGTGCCAGTTAGCTGGGTCAGCAGATACCTCAGCACATTCATAGAACCAGTGAAGTGTACAGACTGCTGTTGTATCACCTACCTCTATGTGACCATCTTGTTGTCCGGTGTAATGTCCACAGCCTGGAGCGCCCTCAGCTTCTTGTCCTCTAGAGCCTCTACTGTGCCAGTTAGCTGGGTCAGCAGATACCTCAGCACATTCATGGAACCACAGTGAAGTGTACAGACTGCTGTTGTATCACCTACCTCTAGTGTGACCATCTTGTTGTCCAGTGTAATGTCCACAGCCTGGAGCGCCCTCAGCTTCTTGTCCTCTAGAGCCTCTACTGTGCCAGTCAGCTGGATCAGCAGATACCTCAGCACATTCATGGAACCACAGTGAAGTGTACAGACTGCTGTTGTATCACCTACCTCTAGTGTGACCATCTTGTTGTCCAGTGTAATGTCCACAGCCTGGAACGCCCTCAGCTTCTTGTCCTCTAGAGCCTCTACTGTGCCAGTTAGCTGGGTCAGCAGATACCTCAGCACATTCATGGAACCAGTGAAGTGTACAGGCTGTTGTTGTATCACCTACCTCTAGTGTGACCATCTTGTTGTCCAGTGTAATGTCCACAGCCTGGAACGCCCTCAGCTTCTTGTCCTCTAGAGCCTCTACTGTGCCAGTTAGCTGGATCAGCAGATACCTCAGCACATTCATAGAACCAGTGAAGTGTACAGACTGATGTTGTATCACCTACCTCTAGTGTGACCATCTTGTTGTCCAGTGTAATGTCCACAGCCTGGAACGCCCTCAGCTTCTTGTCGGGTCAGTCCATATCAAATCAACACACTTTCAACATATTTTTTACCTTGCCATCTTAGATTTTGATGAAATTTGGTACAGAGGTTACCTTTATGGAGACTTAAAAAAATACCAAATTTCATCTCAATATCTCAAACAGTTTCCAAAATACGGCCATTTAAAGTTTTCAAAAAACGGTCAAAATCGCGGTAAAACTTCTAAATAGTCATAACTCGTCTCCTGTTTAAGTTAGAAACATGAGAAAGGTGTCATTTTTTAGCTCTTTTTATGCCCTTTCTAATGATATACAACACATAATAGGTTATGACAACAAAATTTTTTTTTAATTCAAAAATAAATTTTTAAAATAAAATATTTTGAAAAACACATTTTTGATTATTTTCTAAAAAATATATAAAGTTGTTCATGTTATCAGTAATGTGTACACCAAGTTTGGTTATGGGATTGCAATGGGTTCATGGTTAAAATAATTCAAAACCAACGGTGGTTTGTCTAGTTTTAAGTATTTTGGTTGGTAGTCATCTACAAGCATGTTATATGTAATCTACCTATATCTATAAAAGAGGAACTAAGTATGTATGTACCTTATGCACTCAGAAACCGCTCGACAGGTTGTAATGAAACCTTCAGGCATTATTAAGCATTATTCAAGGATGGTTTGTGTGAAGTTTGGTGCAGATCCATCAAAACGGCTCCGCCCCAGAGGGTTTTAAGTGGGCCAATGTCAGACTTTTTGAACTACTATGTTTACAAATAAATATAAACAGCTGTTACCCGGCAACTGTTTTGTAGGTTCGAATAATCACAACATACTGTATTAGTCATGATTTGAAATAGTGCCACAATGTTTCCGTAGAGTAAATATGTTAAATGTGTATGTTAGACAATATGTTAAATATTTTAAATAGTTTATCGTGTAAAATATGATCTATTTTATATGGCCTATTAATACATAACCAAAACCTTACTATCCGTAATCAGATGTTTCATCTTTATTTTGAAATGCTCGTTTGAAATATTTTAGAATATCTCAGGAGCAGAACCTGTACATCTTAACATCTGCTCTTCGAACTGTCCAATTTAAGTTTTTACAGCTGACTTCAATTGATATATTTCGGCTACATTCTTTCAAAATGTAAACATGGAAAATTTGGAAGCCCATGGGGCTTAGCCCAGCCCAAGAGAAATATATGAAAATTAAATGATATAGTATTGCATTTTCATCCATTTGTAAACTATGTTTCAATTTTTAAGTCTCTAGGTCATCAGGAAGTTAGATTGAAATCGATATCAAAATTTGTACCGGACAAAGCGAACTAATGAAAACAAGCCTATGGGGGTAGCCCAAGAGAAATATGAAAATTAAATGATATAATATTGCATTGGCATCCATTTTTAAGCTATGTTTCAAGTTTCAAGTCTCTAGCTCATCGGGAAGTTAGTTTAAAATTGATTGCAAAATTTTTATCAGACACGAAAACGAGCTAATACCGTAAAAACAAGCCCATGGGGCGTGGCCCAAGAAAAATATGAAAAATAAATAATATAATATTGCATTGTCATCCATTTGTGACCTATGTTTCAAGTCACTAGCTCATCAGGAAGTTAGGTTAAGATTGATTGCAAAATTTGTACCGGACAAGAAAGCGAGCAAATAAAAACGTTTTAAAATTAGACAAACCACCGTTGGTTTTGAATTATTTTAACCATGAACCCATTGCAATCCCATAACCAAACTTAGTGTACACATTACTGATAACATGAACAACTTTATATATTTTTTAGAAAATAATCAAAAATGCGTTTTTCAAAATATTTTATTTTAAAAATTTATTTTTGAATTTGAAAAAAGTTTTGTTGGCATAACCTATTATGTGTTGTATATCATTAGAAATTAAAAATTAAATTAATTAAATTAAAGCATACGATACCATAAAGAGACCCAAACTCTGGGAAGCAATGCAAAAGTTTGGGATACCGGACAAGCTGATACGTTTGACAAAGATGTGTGTGGATGGATCCAAAAATAAAGTAAAGGTAGAAAGTGAATACTCTGACACTTTTCAGACTAACACAGGAGTTAGGCAAGGAGATGGATTGTCTCCAATCTTGTTTAACATAGCAATTGAAGAAACACTACAAAACACAAAGAAAGTGGAAGCTGGAGCATACCTTGGGTCAAAAATAAACGTACTGGCCTTTGCCGACGACGTAGCATTAGTGGCAGAAACTGAAGAGGATCTTAAGAAACTGGCCCAAACTATTACAACAGAATCAAAAAAGATAGGACTTAAAGTAAGTGCAGAGAAATCCAAATATCTCAAAGTGGGAAGAATTCAAAATGAGGATATGGAACCATTAAAAGTCGACAACCTGACGTTTGAGAGAGTGTCCGAATTTAAGTACTTAGGAATAACAGTCAACTCCAGTAACAAAACAGAAAATGAAATAGAAAAGAGACTTATCACGGCAACTAACTGCTTTCGAAGCATGTCAAAAATCTTAGGATCCAGATTACTGTCAAAAGCCACAAAAATTAGAATTTATAAAACTATTATCCAACCAGTTCTCTTATATGGATCTGAGGCCTGGACCCTAACCAAACAAAACGAAAGGAGATTAATCGTCTTTGAGAACAAGATATTAAGAAAGATTTTTGGCCCTATAAAAGAAAATGAAATATGGCGGATCAGGAAAAACAGAGAACTACGAGAACTCTACGAAGACCCAGATATTGTAGCTATTGTTAAGAGCCGAAGATTGAGGTGGGCAGGGCACATAGCGAGAAGAGAAGAAAACAGTCTCCTGAAGATAGCTACAAATGGACGACCACGAGGGACCCGACCACTAGGAAGACCCAAACTACGATGGGGAGACCAGGTGCGGAAAGACCTTCATCGCATGGGGACATCAATTGACCGAGCAGCAGACAGAAAACACTGGAGGCAACTTGTTGGCGAGGCCAAAAACCAACTTAGGTTTGAATGGCCAAGGAGGTAAGGTAAGGTAATATCATTAGAAAGGGCATAAAAAGAGCTAAAAAATGACACCTTTCCCATGTTTCTAACTTGAACAGGAGGACTGTTTAGAAGTTTTACCGCAGCGCGATTTTGATCGTTTTTTGAAAACTTTAAATGGCCGTATTTTGGAAACTGTTTGAGATATTGAGTTGAAATTTGGTATTTTTTTAAGTCTCCATAAAGGTAACCTCTGTACCAAATTTCATCAAAATCTAAGATGGTGAGGTAAAATAGGTGTGTTGATTTGACATGGACTGACCCTGTCCTCTAGAGCCTCTACTGTGCCAGTCAGCTGGATCAGCAGATACCTCAGCACATTCATAGAACCAGTGAAGTGTACAGACTGATGTTGTATCACCTACCTCTAGTGTGACCATCTTGTTGTCCAGTGTAATGTCCACAGCCTGGAACGCCCTCAGCTTCTTGTCCTCTAGAGCCTCTACTGTGCCAGTTAGCTGGGTCAGCAGATACCTCAGAACATTCATAGAACCAGTGAAGTGTACAGACTGCTGTTGTATCACCTACCTCTAGTGTGACCATCTTGTTGTCCAGTGTAATGTCTACAGCCTGGAACGCCTTCAGCTTCTTGTCCTCTAGAGCCTCTACTGTGCCAGTTAGCTGGGTAAGCAGATACCTTAGCACATTCATGGAACCAGTGAAGTGTACTGACTGCTGTTGTATCACCTACCCCTCTGACCATCACACCTCTAGTGTGACCATCTTGTTGTCCAGTGTAATGTCCACAGCCTGGAACGCCCTCAGCTTCTTG